AAGGACAAATCTTTATACTTAAAGAGGAAGTAAATGTAAAAAAAAAAAAAGAAAGAAAAAATATATATATCATTTTACCAGTAATTAAATATGAACTCTTTGGGTTTATTGATCTATTACAGAAAAAAGCTTAATTAAACCAAAAACAAAATGAGGAAAACTTTATGGTGTCTGAATTACAAGAGAGGCAATGCAGATTTAAAATTGAGTGCTCATGAAAACCCAAATCAAATGCAAATTCATTTGGCTTAAAGCAACTTAAACAAATAGTCACAGCTTATTACAAACCTCTGTTCAGACCCCCCATGACAGCCACAGTGCCATTCATAACCTTGACGGCCCCCGGCTACAGACGTGGTAATCCCGTGTGTAGAGCAACAGATGTTTCTCTTAAAAACATCCGTTCACTCTGCAGCAAAGCAGTCTGCCGCCTATTCTCCGAGGAGATCAAAGGCACCAGTGTAATCACTATGAAATCTGACATATTTGCACTGGTTTGCAGGGACATATTGACTTACAGTAGGCTTACTGTGCTTTAAAACATAAACAATCTCTTTCTCTGTCTCCTTTTTAAGCAAGGCCCCTACCCATGTTTTACGAGCAGGCTTTCATGTTGTGTACATGAAAAGGCCACAGAGAGAAAGAGCGAGGGAGGGCTGGGTGAGCGTGTGTGGCAGGGGAAAAGGGAGAAGAAAATGCATATGAAACAACAACCCCCCCTGACAAATAAACAGTGCATTGTTCCCATGGCAGCGCGGTGCATTAATCTGACGGCTGGTTTCCCATGGCTGTGTCTCCCTGCCCTGTAGACCTCAGCTCTGTCTCACTGATGGCTCCTGTGATTGCAATCATCCATCTTACTGTCAAAAAAAAAAAAAAAAATGGGGCAAGAAAGAGAGGGAAATCACACACACCATCTCACTTTCTCTCCCTAGTGTCCGGCAAACAAGCCATCCCACTGAGAGCAGAGCCAACACATGGAGACAACAAAGGCCCAGCTCTGCACCGTGTATGTGTGTCCATGCTTGTATGATTAATACAGGGAACATGAGTGGGTGTGCATCGTTTGGTTGTCTCTGCCCCGCACCATGTTGCATGATCAGTCACTGGAGTGCACGCCGGGGAACGATGGACATGTCTGATCTTGCAGCCGATCAAAACCACCAGAGACTTGTTCCCTTGTGGCCACGCAAGCGGGGGCCTCAAATCAACACGTCTCTGTTCAGTAGACAGGAAAAATAAGAGTGCGGAGGAGGAGGTGGGGGGGAGGGAGCACATGAGAAGGGAGACTGAAATACAGATGAAAGAATTCATAAAGAGTCCAGAGAGGAGTGTGAAGACGACTCATAAACACGCTTATCTCTCTGTTCTCAGGAGCTAATTGAACAGCAAAAAGTCAACTCTGTTTTTGTAAAAGCTGTGATCCTGCTCCAGAAATCTGACAGAAGAAAACAAAAAGGGTGATTTAAAGCTATAATGTTTGTTGCCCTCCCTGATGAACTCAGCAAGAGCAAAATAAATGAGGCTGCAGAGTGTTCATGCTTGTCTCTACCGTTTAATTGTGAATCTGTGGTGTAAAGCGAAGCGGTGGTCGTTGTTCTCTATGCACAGAACATTCTAATATCATATCTTTTAGTGCTTCTTTTGTATTTAACAATGCAAAAAATAGCAAATAAAAATTATATTGAAGAATTTTGAAATTGAAATTTCCAGCTTTGATGGATTTAAGGAAGATATTTGAGGGTATTTACTCAAACTAGAAACAATAGGCTATAAAGAGATATGTTAACTATAAAGAGATATGCTAACGAACAGCTATCAAACGTTGATTTCGAAGATATATGCAGTAATATTTTGAATTAAATAAATATATAAAACTTTTTTAACCATATTTTTTAATAAGGTAACTGCAATTTTAAAAAAAAAGCATAAATTATGACAGAATTTCAGCTCTAAAAATGCTTTTTATATTTCTTACCCACACTGTAACAAATTGCTGTATAAAAACGGCCAAAACTGAACAGTATCATATTGTTTCTATTGAAAACGGTACTGCACCGTGAAAAACAATGCATTCTGGGCAATTATTACTGTTTTTAATAAAATACTGTAATATACTGTGAGT